AGGCCGTGAGAGGCATCTTTAAACACAAAGGCAAAGATCCCCCGCATAGCCTTGAACATTCTGTTGGGGCAAGTGCACCTGTGAAGAAGACCGGCACGGCGGCACACGAGGGGATGGGTGGCCAGCACCACGGCCGGACGCCTTTGTCTCCCCATCGCTGATGTTGTTACACAGTGCACCACCAGGTACTCGTCAATCCTGAGTAGGCCTCGGGCTATGGCTGCAAATTCATCGGTAGAGGCAGATGAACACTGTGCACCGTGGGTGGGTCACCTGTGTAGAGTCAGATGAACAATGTGGTTGAGATGTTAACCATCTCACCTGGTATACAGGAGGTCGTGGGTTCGATCCCAATCCTGGATTATTCTCCGGGTCCTCCGGGTTTTCCCTCCACATTTAGAATCAACATCACGCGTTTTGAGAATGTGGCTGCTATAAACGTCCACGTGATAAGCCACTTCGTTGAGCTATCGCTTGTGGCCCAGGTCGCTTCTGAAAAAAGAGCTACATAGCTCAGTGGGGCCTTACCTGGTACATTAACACATTTTGAGTTTTCAATCTCGATTTGAAGCTTTCGTGACTGCAGGAATCCATACTCTTTGGTTCTTTCGGTAAAGTCACGTAGGTAGAAAATATACCTACGTGACTTTACCGAAAAACCAAAGAGTATGTTGAGTTTTCGTTTTTTTATATATCTCCAGACCCGCCTCCCCACTGACGCCCACTCTTCTGGGGTGTACAATGATCAAGGAATACTGATGGGCCGCGAGAGCGCGTATTGCTCTTTGAAGAGCGGCATCACGCGGCTCCTCCAGCGGTCTCCCATCGCACTCCGCGTGCCACGGGACTCTCTCTCTCTCATCCCATCACAAATCACCTTGCCTACGGAGCACTGTGTGTACAACTAGCAGGTTGATATCAGGTGGCGTTTGGGGCGATGTGGCCCCCTTCTTCACAGCACACACAGAGAGAGACAGAGGCCAGAGAGGTGATTATTTCATTTGTGGAGTTCAGAGGCCAATTGAACGGGGCATTGCTTGGGGGATTTATAGCGAGGCCCAATGGTTCCCCGCACTCTCACTAAGCCGTGATATCGGTGCACGCTGTGCAGCTTTACTACATCCTACTCCACGGACTTGAAGTGCCACTCCTTGGTGCCCTTTCATGGCTGTGGAAGAAGCGCGGCGCAAAGACAAAGATCCCCCGTGTAGCCTAAACAGGCTGTTGGGGCAAGTGCTGTTAGCGAGTAGCGCCGATGAAGGCCAGCACGGCACACGAGGGGTGAGGTGGCCAGCATCACGCCCAACCGCCTTTGTCTCCCCAGTGGCGATGTTTACACACCGCACCAGGTACTCATTTCAGACTCAGTCGACCTAGGGGAGGCCCAGGACCGGTTCAGATAATCGTCACCAGTGTTGGCCGTGAGCGGGAATCAAACTCGGGTCGCCAGGTTCGCAGCGCAGCGCGATAACCGCTACACTACCGCTCCCCACTACACACATACACGCGTACACACACACGTACACACACGTACACACACACACGTACACACACACGCACGTACACACACACGTACACACACACGCGTACACACACACACACGTACACACACACACACGCGTACACACACGCGTACACACACACACACACGCGTGCACCCATTGCTCTTCAACAATAAAGGGTAGTGCCGGCAGGGCATCATGGGCTGTCGTTAAACGCCTCTGCCAGCCCACGTATCGCGCCAAAGTTCGTCTCTGCCGGTTTGAAGGGAGTCCAGCAGAGGGCATTTGGCCTACTCCTCCACACTGGCGAGACGTCTCGGGAAGGGACGGGAGTTCCCACGCTTCGCCCCGCCACGAGGTGAGGGAGCGGCGGGCGAGTTTAAGAACCTCGCACCGTCGAATCGACCGCCGCTCCAGGACAGGAACGTGCGGTCAGGGGAGGCAGGGGAGTCAGAGCCTCACCTGACATACTCCAATGAGAATAGCTGTTACAAAAAAAATATATTAAGATGTTTCCACTGATCTGTGTTACAAATGTAATTTCTGTACGATTCCAATCATTTTTATAGTCAAAATCGCCAACCCCTGAGTAACTGGATGGAGCGCGGGCAATAAGCGTGTGCCTGTTACTATCTCAGTATGTCACCAATGTAATGTTTGTAGACCCTTTCATTTCATGTCCTCGCCTTCCATACTCCAGGTAACTTATTTCACGTATGTGTATAAAAACATTTAGGCTCGCTGGTCTCGTCATGAAACTGCAATGAAAAAGCACCAGGGGAGGCAGCTATCACATCTGCCTCACTGAGGGGGACGTGTCTAACACGCCCCCTCAGTGAGGCCACGCCCCTCCATGAGACCACGCCCCCCTCGGTGTGTTAATCTGGCTCTGACACGAGCCAGTGCCTCCCCAGCCATTGACCCCACCGCACGTCACTGAGCTCCAAGAGATCCAGCGACCGCTGAATTGGTTGCAGGCCCAGCGTGCCGACCGTGACACCAGGGGCCACGCATCTCTCCCCTCGAGCAGAAGTCGCGCGCTGGATACAACCGCAATAGCAAATCGTGCTTTGTGCCACTTTGATCTTTACCAGTGTGGTATCGATCGCTGAATTTGAATGTGGGATTGAAATTGAGGGACTACTGCTGTGTTGTTGTGTTGGTGTGGGACTGTTGTTGTTGTTGTTGTTGTTGTTGTTTTGCTGCCTAGCCCAGGCTTGCATTGGGTGTCGACAAATCGGCAGGAATCGATGTACTTACGCGATCATTTATTTGTAAGTATTTATTTTTAGTGATTTGTTGACTTCTCTGAGGCTTTGCCCTGCCGTCGTGTGTTTGTTTGCTGTTGCCAACGTTCTGTCCCCGTGCACCCTACCGGGCATCTGTGAAAAAGAGCTTCATAGCTCATCGGATCCCCCCCCCCCCACCAGGATAAATAAAGATCCTGATTCCGATCTCGACCTGGCCTGGCAGGCGATATCAAGGCAGCGGAGAGCCGGGCGAGCTCCACGCAGCGAATTACCCGCCGGTGTTGTGTGCGGTCAGGAGACAGAGGCAAGGTCACCGGAATTGCAACGCGTGGCAGTGTAGCACGTGACGACGGCTGTCTCAGGGCACGTCCATAGATGACGTCACGCGATTTTGGACGATTTTTGACCCCCCTCGTCACATGGCGTCACAAAAAGTCAGACCCCCCCCCCTCAAATATGACGTCACAAAAAATAAAACATGCCTCAAATCGCTTTAAACTATTGTCATTGTAGTGCGTATTTAATGTGGCGCTGCACTCTGATGTTGTAGGAAAAAACATTTATTAAAAAGTCTATTAAATTAAGTAGAACGTGTTGTCTATATTTATTTAAAGTTGCGCATTTTGATGTGACGTCACATTTCTCAACACCCCCCCCCCTCGTCACACATCGCCACAAATGTCTGACCCCCCCCCCCAGGTGCGTGACGTCATTTATGGACGGCCCCTCACCACGCACGCGACGGTGCCTTATATATTTATATATTTACGCGATCTAACCCAAAAAAACACCTGTATTATGTACGTAGGAGTATGTCGGAGCCAGACGTGAGCATGTAGGAGTACGTGGGAGTGTACGCAGGAGTGTACTTGAGTGCACACCGTAGGAGCCGCACGTGTGGGGCGCAGCGCTGCACTGGTGATGGCACTGCGACCCAGCTGAGATTTCGTGGCCACGCGTAACATCGGTGGCAATCGTCTAGAACTGGTGGGTGCCCGGGGGGGCCTCTTGCTCGGTCAATTTGGCCTTCAGTGAATGTGCCAGTGTGCGTTGTGTGAAGAGTCAGTCGACCCACGGCACCTGGGTCTGCCCCGTAACCTTGTGTCAGCGGGCGTTCGACGCTTCACGTGGCTTCAACATGCACATGGCCTGGCACAAGCGCCGTGGTGATGTCACCGCCACTTAATGGCCGATGGCGGTTGTTGTTTTTGTCGTGTGAAGAGTGCCCTTATCAGGCTAAAACCAACTTGGTTGAGGTTCGGAGACCCGTAGCCACTCGAGGCCATCGCTGCCAGGGCCAAACCTCCCAGCGGCGATAACTACAGAGTGGCTGCCTCCAACGCGCCCACACGCATATATAGATTGAGTTATGCATGTTGAACTTCTTTTGCACCGTGCGTAGCCAACCGTGCCAATCAGAGGTGCGGGGGAAGGACAACAAACTAAACACAAAAAGCAGTTCTAAAGAATTTGTTTAAAAAAATTCTAGATTTAAAAGTGCAAAGCTCCAGTGACTTCCTAATATCATTATAGTCATCAGCCATGACCTATCCACAGTTTGATGAAGGCCACAGGCTCGCAATGCAGTCATCCTTCTGTAATCCACGGGCCCATTTAATCGCCCCACCTCGATGGCCGTGCCCTATGGTGCGACCCCTCCTTTGGCCGTGACGTGTCTCTCCGGCCCAAGCCCAGCAGGCCACCCCTGGCACGGGAGGCGATTGCTGTTCCGTGCGTCTCAGTGGGTTCGTTTCACCTCCCGGTAGGAACGAGGGTGCAACAATTTACTTTCCTCAACAGTCAATAATCGCGTCTCTGACTTGATTGTGTTCCCCAATCCATGTGCTTGCTCCTCTCCCTGTATTCTCGGTGTAATTCGAAGGCTGCTCATGACCTCGTGTGTGGATCTGTGTTTATTACTCAGGGCAGGCAGCGGGAGTGGAGTCGTTAGCCCGCTGTGCTACAAACCCCAGCGGCCCCAGTTCAATTCCCACTCAGGGTCAACAACCAGTGACGATTATCTGAACCGGTCCTGGGCCTCCCCTCGGTCGACTCAACCGTAAACGGGTACCGGGTGCGATGTGCAAAACATCAACACTGGAGAGACAAAAGCAGCCGGGCGTGGTGCTGGCCACCCACCCCCTCGTGTGCCATTCCGGCCTTCATAGGCGCTCGCGAACAGCACTTGACCCAACAGCCTGTCAAGGCTCCACGGGGGATCTTTGTCTTTGTGTGTGCCTGTACTCACCAGTGAACACGCTGCTCTTCTCCAAGCCGTGCTCCCTCTGAAACTGCGTTCTTGCGAAGAGTCGTGGGTCCGCGATGCCGACCACCTGCCCCCGCGCGCACACAAAGACAAAGATCCCCCGTGAGGCCTTAAAAAACTGTTGGGGCAAGTGCTGCTAGCGAGTAGCACCTATGAAGGCCGGCACGGCACACGAGAGGGTGGGTGGCCAGCACCACGCCCAGCCACCTTTGTCTCCCCAGTGGTGATATTTACACACCGCCACCAGCTACTCAATGGAGGCTGAGTTGCCTAGGGGAGGCCCAGGACCGGTTCAGATAATCATCACCGGTGTTAACCGTGAGCGGGAATCGAACTCGGGTCACCGGGTTCGTAGCGCGGCGCGCTAACCGCTGCGCCACCGCTCCCTGCGCGTACACACGCACGCGACGCACGCGTCACGCACGCGGCTCCACAATGACTCGGCCCAGTGCTCCCTCACCATTGTGACTTTGCTTCTTTAGCCATGAAAGCTTCGTTGAGTCTCACAATTCCTTTTCAGGGGGGTCCTGCCAAGTTTTTGTCGCAGTAGCCTGGCGATGCTGCAGCTACCTGTCATCCCATTTGAGTCATTTGCAGGCAAATTTGCAGCGTTGGAACGTTTTTGGCCAATACCGGTCGCATTCTTACGTTTTTATTTTTTTATCTGCGTTGAGTTTTTTTTTTGGTCGTTTGCCGTCGTCCGTTAATCTCGCTCGGCCAGACGGACGCGGGTGTAGCGAACCGCGCGCCCCGAGGGCCCCCGAGTGAGCCTCACAACGCGAACACAAACCCACGGCTCCGGCTCCGTGGGAAGACAACGAGGAGCAAAGCGCAGTGACCATCGGCGGCGCTCGACTCGCGCGTCGCACGCTCCACCCCGACTGAGAGGCTCTACTCAGCCGAGACAACAACAACAACGACAACAACAACAACGCGTGGCTGGCGGAGTCTGCGATGATCCCAAACAGATGACTGGTAAAATAAAAAATGACTTAGTATTTATAGTGATTTGATTACCTTTCATATACTTTGCACTTTCTATCATTGTGGTTGTTTGTTGTTGTTTGTTGTTGAAACTGTCTGACCCCGTGCCCCGACTGGGCATCTGTGAAAGAGCTTCATAGCTCATCGGATTTCTGCAGGATAAATAAAGATTCTGACTGGGCAGATGAACGTCCGAGCAGCTGAAAGTCGCTTCCCAGTAAACGTGCCAACGCTAATCCAGCGATGACGACCACGACCATGACGACGGTGTCGGTGATGACGATATTGCCGATGATTAGCGGCTCAGCAGCACCTTTGGCTGCAATTGCTCTCCAATTGCTCTCTTTTCTCCAAACTGCCAAAACACTTTCATCACGACACACCGCCCCTGCTGCCGCCGCCGCCGATGATGGCGACGATGACGACTACGATGACTTCAAAGGGCTACAGAATCGCGCCGCGATTGCCGGAGCCCATCCGCTGCGCTCGCAAAACCCCAAAGAAACCCGCGGATGAAATTAGGTGCGAAAATCGGGAGCGTCTCTCCTGCCAACGCGACCGCAACAACAACAAAATACGCCCCCGCCCCGCCAAGCCCACCACACCACACCAGGCTCTCGAGTTGGTATCGCCGAGCCGCGGCCACGGAGCCGAGATTTTTGAGCCCCAAATCGAGGGGAAGCAAAGTGGCTCTTGTGTCGTTGGAAACTCGCAAAAATCTGGGTCAAGTCGCGCGCCGCGTGCGTGCGTGCATCGGGTGACGTATAACCGCCCAAAGTGCCACCTCACGGCACGGCCACGCGTCTGCCGAGCGTATTTGCTGCACGCATTCGCTGCCTATGTAAGCCGCTTCCTGTGGTTGCCTGGCCTGGGCCGTGGGGGTTGGCGAGAGGGGGGCGGCCTGCTGACGGAGGTGGCGGAGGTGAGGGAAGGGAGGCTCGTCGACGTTCGACAAGGGGGGACGCACCTCTGATTAGCACGGTTGGCTACGCGCAATGCGAAATAAATTCAACGTGCATGACACATACGGCCAGATAAAGAGGGCAGCGGAAAGAGACCCCGCAAACTCCAAATATACAGCAGCAGGCGTCAAGGTCGGGATCGAACCCACGACCTCTTTGCATACCAGACAAGGTAGTTAACATCTCCTAGCCACGGAGGGCCCAGGTTTTGGGTCCATTCTTGGGGCGGCTCAACCTGGGCCCAGTCGGCCGTGAGGTCGCTCCGGAAAGGAGGCAACAGATCCCACGTGGAGGCAGTAGGTCCCACGTGGAGTCAGTAGATCCCACGTGGAGTCAGTAGATGCCACGTGCCTCGCAACAGCATCTTGGCTCCGCGACGCGGCAGTGGAGGCCGGGGCTTAGCGGCCCGAGGGGTAAAGGCATCGATGTTTTTTTGGCACAATCAAACTCTCGCGCGGAGGCATTGTGCTCTAATATCCTGCTCACAGAATCGAGGCCATTGTTTGTCGCTGCCACCCACTCCCAACAATGAGCCACTCAATCCCTCTTCCTGCCGTGGCCGATGAAGCGAATTTGTTCGTTCTCGTCGCTGCCCCCGTATGATTTGCTTGCGGGCTGCACGTGCGAACTGCTGATTCGTTACCTCCTGCTGTGGGGTGGAGAGCGCGACCACAAGCCACGGCCACTGCGATGGTGGAGCGAGCGATGGATCAGTGGTGGAGCGAGCGATGGATCAGTGGTGGAGCGAACGATGGATCAGTGGTGGAGTGAGCGATGGATCAGTGGTGGAGCGAGCGATGGATCAGTGGTGGAGTGAGCGATGGATCAGTGGTGGAGCGAGCGATGTTATCAGTGGTGGAGCGAGTGATGTTATCAGTGGTGGAGTGAGCGATGGATCAGTGGTGGAGTGAGCGATGGATCAGTGGTGGAGTGAGCGATGGATCAGTGGTGGAGTGAGTGATGGATCAGTGGTGGAGCAAGCGATGGATCAGTGGTGGAGCGAGCGATGGATCAGTGGTGGAGCGAGCGATGGATCAGTGGTGGAGCGAGCGATGGATCAGTGGTGGAGCGAGCGACGTTATGAATGTTGGAGGGAGTGATGTTACCTGTGATGGAGTTAGTAAAGGATCAATAGTGGAGTGAGCGATGGATTAGTGGAGCGGTGGTGGTGCGAGCGATGGATGACACACAAAGACAAAGATCCCCCGAAAAGCCTGTAACAGACTGTAGGGGCAAGTGCTGTTAGCGAGCACCTATGAAGGCCGGCACGGCACACGAGGGGGTGGGTGGCCAACACCACGCCCGGCCTTCAAGGAGCAGTGGGCGCTGGAGGAGGCCGTGTGCTCAGTGGCAGAAGACGGGGAGCTCTGCATGCAGATCTGAGCTACCGTCGGAGGCCATAGGACTGCGAGGAGTGCTGGGTGCAGATGCAGCACTTGTAGTTTTAAAAAAATGTAATAAATAAAATTACATAGAAAACAGGGGGAACATAGAGAGAGTAGGGAGAGAGCGGTAGAGAGAGGGGGTAGACTTTACTTTTAAACAACTTTTATTGTCGCCAGCAGTAACAGCACTGGAGGCGATTCTGATATGAAATACACAAAGTCACCAGCAAACAAATGAAAACAAACGCTACAAATCCACGCGCTGTGGTGCTAAATGCACCGCACACAACACGAATGAAAAGTCACATGGTAGTGGTGGTCATCGTGCACACCACGGTGACGAGCGAGCGTTTCAGAATGTGAACACCACGAGGGTGCCGTCCACGCTGGTACAGAGAGGGGCTTGTCCGGCTCCCCAGCGTTCGAAGAAGACACGCTGCACATCACCGACAAGTGTGTGGTACATGGCGTGCTCCAGCCGCAAACGCGCCTTGAGCAGGCCTCTGAACACTGGAAGCACGGATCATCCGTCAGTGTCACCTTCCAGCATCGTTTTTCTCGTTCTGTACACCGCCATCTTCGCCTGAGCACAGGCGAAGTTGGCGAGGTCATGACGCTTGTTAGCCAGGTAAGGCACCCATATACGAAGCTGCTGTTGCAGATGGGCACCCCCAGTTTCCTGAAGATGTCCCCCAAAAGACGGAACATTGGTTTGAGCCGCTGGCAGCGTAAGTACCGGTGGGGCAGATCCTCCCTGGCACTGCAGGAAATGCACAAGTCTGTTACCCCTGGCGAGATTCGGCTGAGCCACACGGCCGATGGCAACGTGCAGTGTGCCAATCTCCACTAGAGGTCACCGCAGCGTTTGGCTACGGGAGACTTGTACATTTGTTTCCACTGAAGGGCAGCTGCAATGAGGGGAGAGAAATGGTCTCTCCATTTTGTGTCTGGTAGGTTGGCCAGGTAGAGAGAGGGGGTAAAGAGAGAGAGAGAGGGGGTAGAGAGATAGGGAAGGGATAAGGAGAAGCAGAGCGTGCTTCTTCGTGTTGGTGTTTGTGTCTACGAAGAAAGTAGCACAGATTGATTCAAAAAGGGGGGGGGGGGCACATAAAACAAATCAAGAAAAAAACCTGAAAAACGACATGATGAACAAAGCAAAGTGCCGACTAAACCGAGCATCTGCTTGATTCCTCTGATCGTACAAAAGAGAGGAGAGGGAAACTTGTAAACAACTTTTATTGCCGCCAGCAGCAGCAGCAGAGGCGATTTCTATATGAAACACAAAGTCACCAGCAACAAAAATAACCAAACACAATTGAAAAAACACACTCGCTGCGGCACGTGGCGCTACACGCGCCGCGCACAACAACAGCGAGCACGTTAGAAGGTGAAAAGGAGAGTGCCGTTCACGCCGATACAGAGCCCTTTTCTGACCCCCCCCCCCCAGCGTTCGAAGAAGACGAGCGAGAGAGAGGGAGAGAGTGGGAGGAGGAGAGAGAGTGGGGAGAAGGGGGCAGAGAGGGCGAGAGAGAGAGACGGTAAGACAGAGAGAGCGTGAGAGAGGGAGACGGGGGGGGGTGAGATAAAGGTGAAGAGAGTGTAGAGTGAGAAGAGAGAGTGGGAGAGAGGAAAATGGGGTGGGGGGTGGGGGTAGAGAAACAGAGGGAGAGCGGGACAGATAAAAGGGTGGTGGGGGAGAGATTGGAAAGAGCGCGAGCGAGTGAGATAAGGCAAGAGGGGGAGAGAGGGAGGGAGGGAGGGTGGTGGGGGAGAGAACGAGGGTGAGAGATACGAGGGGCGAGCGAGCTTGGATTCCTTCCTCAGGCGAGGTGAGCGCGATCTGCCTGCTGCGAGCCGCGCGTGCAGCAGGGGATGATGATGATGATGATGACCTTCACGTCGCTCGGATGACCTTCACGTCGCTCGGGGTCACAGCAAGGTGACGGCTGCCGGCCGTGGACGAGGCCTAGGAACACCGGCGCGCACGCCGCCCTTGCAGCGTGCAGCGTGTCGCCCTCGCTGCACGCTACAAGGGCGACACGCCGCCCTTGCAGCGTGCAGCGTGTCGCCCTGGCTGCACGCTGCAAGGGCGACACGCCGCCCTTGCAGCGTGCAGCGTGTCGCCCTGGCTGCACGCTGCAAGGGCGACACGCCGCCCTTGCAGCGTGCAGCGTGTCGCCCTCGCTGCACGCTGCAAGGGCGACACGCCGCCCTTGCAGCGTGTCGCCCTGGCTGCACGCTGCAAGGGCGACACGCCGCCCTTGCAGCGTGCAGCGTGTCGCCCTGGCTGCACGCTGCAAGGGCGACACGCCGCGCACTTGCAGCGTGCAGCGTGTCGCCCTGGCTGCACGCTGCAAGGGCGACACACCGCACTTGCAGTGCGCAGCGTGTCGCCCTGGCTGCGCACTGTCAGGGCGACACGCCACCCTTGCAGCGTGCAGCGTGTTTCTAAATGTGGAGGGAAACACCGGAGGAGCCGGAGATAAATCCACGCCACCACGGGGAGAGGGACACACAAACTCCAAATATACAGCAGCAGCAGGCGTCAGGGTCGGGATCCAACCCACGACCTCCTGTAGACCAGGCGAGGTAGTTAACATCTCCTAGCCACCGTGGCGCCCTTTTGTTACAGGAGCTGACGGCGGTGTAGTGGTGGTAGGAGTCATGATTATGCATGCGAGTGTGGGGGTCACAGGTGAACAGGGAGGTCAGCCTGTTAGTGACCAACACGTGTAACATGCTGTGTGTGTGTACACTCTGTGTGTGTGTGTACTCTGTGTGTGTACTCTGTATGTGTGTACTCTATGTGAGTGTACTCTGTGTGTGTGTACTCTGTATGTGTGCTCCGCTGTGTGTACTCTGTGTATGTGTACTGTGTGTGTGTACTCTGTATGTGTGTGTGCTCTGCTGTGT